TCACTCTTTATTGGTGAATTTAAGACATAAAAACCAGCCCTGGCTGGTTTGGCTTAGTGGATAGAGCGCTGATCCAAGGAGTGAAAGGTCTCAGGTTCTATTCTGGCCAAGGGCACATACCTCAGTTGCAGTCTCAATCTCTGGCCCTGTTGGGGCAAATATGGGAGACAACCAATCGATGTGTCTCTCTCACATCAATGTTTCTCTCTCTGTGTCTCTCCCCCTCTCTTCCACTCTCTCTGAAAATCAATGGAAAAATATCCTTGGATGAGAATTGAAAAAAATAATAAATAAATAAATAAATAAATAAGAATTATGCCCTGGCTGGTGTGACTTAGTTGGTTGGGCGTCGTCTCATGCACCAAAAGGTTGCCAGTTCCATTCCTGGTCAGGGCCCCGGGTTGCATGCTCCATCCCCCATATGGGACATGCAGGAGGCAGCCAATTGATGTTTTGCTCTCACATCAATGTTTCTCACACACTCTCTCTTTCTTCCTCTCTCTCTAAAAATCAATTTAAAACATTTAATTTAAGAAAACATACATAAGAGCCATAACTTAAGGCATAGGAAGAGGAAAAAAACAAGTCGCCCAAATGGTCAGTTATCAAAATCAACCAAGATTTCTAAAACAAAGGCACCTCAGTGGGGTAAGGCAGCTTGGTTATTTATCTAATCTTGAGACTGACAATGCATTTATTCTAGATAGCCTTAGTTTAAATAGATGCCTGGGTAATCAGGCATTTGCATTACACACACATAACAAGTCAACTGTCAGGGCTCAGACTACATTATTCATGGGTTTGTGGTGATGCTTGTGTAAATAAACCTACTATGCTGCCAGTCTTATAAAGTATAGCACATACAATTAACTAAAAGGCTAGAACATCCAGGTATGTGATGGTCACCCGATGAAATCACCTAACGATACCTTTCTCAGAGCATATGCCCATTAAGCAGCAAATGACTGTATTTCTTTTTTTTCTTTTTAATATATTGTATTGGTTTTTTTACAGAGAGGAAGGGAGAGGGATAGAGAGTTAGAAACATCGATGAGAGAGAAACATTGATCAGCCGCCTCCTGCACACCTCCTACTGGGGATGTGCCCGCAACCAAGGTATATGCCCTTGACCGGAATCGAACCTGGGACCTTTCAGTCCACAGGCCGACGCTCTATCCACTGAGCCAAACCAGTTAGGGCTGTATTTCTTAATACATGTTAACTCAGCACTACTCTTCATAGTTTTCTTTGGGAAAGCACTTTAGAAATGTAGAACACTATACAAGTTTAAGGTAACTCTTTTCTGTTGATGTGTAATTATTTTGCCCAGGATGTTCTTTTTTTAAAATAAATTTTAAAAAATATATATATATATATATATATATTACTGATTTCAGAGAGGAAGGGAGAGAGAGAGATGGAAACATCAATGATGAGAGAGAATCACTGATTGGCTGCCTCCTGCATGCCGCACACTGGGGATCGAGCCCGTAACCTGGGCTTGTGTCCTGACTGGGAATCGAACCATGAGGTTGACACTCAACCACTGAGCTACGCTGGCCAGACAACTGCCAGAATGTTCTTTAGGGGAAGAATGATTGACAAAATTAGACTCTGCTCCCTCTCTTTAATGCTGGTATTGACCAGTTTGTCTTGCCTTCTACACCCCAATATGTCACACAAGAGAAGTATTTAAATCAGTTCTGGAGAAACTCCTGCTGGGCCAAGAACCAAATCAGAGTTGGGTACAGATCATCTTTTTAAAATTTGGCTGCAGAGGGAATGCACTTGGAGGTAAATCCTTCTTCATTGTTACAAAGTCATCCCCTCACTCTGACAGTGAGCATCCCCATCTTAGTTTTATTTCTAGTCTAATTTTGGTGTGAGTGGCATTAGTAAGTTAGTATATATTACATTACCCGAGTAAGAACTTGGGATATATGGAAATACGTCAGTAACAATATGGAAGTAAGTCTCATTCTTTTAATTCCTCTTTCAGTTTGAAAGAGGAAAAACAGCAGATAAAACAAATACAGACAAATGAAATGTGTCCATTAGGAGAGAATGCTGAAATAAAGAGACAGCAGAGGTGACACATAGAATTAGTAGGAATCTGTTTAATTAAGGGAATACCTCAAGGGCAGGCATTTTAAATGTGAAAGGGTTTTTAAATAATAGGCCAAAGGTGTGCAAGCCATTCTCTTATACTGTTTTAATAAAATTGGTAAATATAGGAAGTTGGCAAGAAAGTAAAGATTGCATTTGAATGAGAGGAGGGAAGGTGGGTTACTATGAAGCATACCAGTACGTTTTCATATACAGAAGATAATCACATAGAAAACCACTAGTGTAAAGGATACTGAAGCCTAGAGCCCAAAGTTAGTATTTAATCTGAAAGATAGCAAAGAAATCAGTAAAAGTAAATTCTACAACCCATAGAAAGGCTAATGGAAGGCAAGCAAGAAGACTTCAGGAATCTAGGACCCAAAAAGGGTTTGGTGGTAGTCACAACAATGATAGGCATGGGAGGTTTTACACCGCTCTCAGGATCTCACTATTCATGATGGACTTAAGTTAATATACAGGAAATCCCAAATGAGGAAACTATTCAATCCCCATGAACACCAAGATTCATTTTAAATAAGAAAAAAATTAACATTTTTGTCCTCTCTCGGTCTCTTAATATTTTTGTCATTTTGTGTGTGTGTATGTGTGTGTGTGCATGTGTGTGTGTGTGTGATTAAGGGTTTGAAAAAAAAATAAATGCCCCCCCCCCCGCCCCCTTGACATAATACATGTGCTAGATTGGGAGAGGAGCAAGTGTCCCAAATAGGCTCCAGATCTCAGGATCTAGTTCTAGTTCAAGAACTTGGTGGGAAGGCTCTGTGGGCTCCTCCCACAGTGTGGAGTGTATTGTGACTCCAAGCAGAGGAATGTGTAGCTTGTCAAGGTGACTCTGATATACATGAGCTCTAGGGACTCTTTAGTGACTGCAGGTATAGTCATGCCAACTTTTGTGCCCATCAAAAATGTATCTGCTGAAAATATGCTCTCAAATTTCTAAACAGACCATTCTCTCTTTACTTGGATTGTTTTCTTAGGCAAAAATGCAATGTTCTAGTAGTTGTTAAAGCTCCTTGTCAACTATGAAGCACCGTAAAAATTTAAGAAAGTACCTCCGTGGTGCCCGATTCTTCTTTATTTCTTAAGAGAGAGAATTCGTTAAAACCTTTTCACTTTTTTGTCTTGGCAATAACACCATGAAATGAGCAATGCCTTTGTCACATCTCAATGTCAATGAAGGAAAAACTAATTATTCTGGGATTAGCAGTATTATTTGTCTTATACTTTCAGGTTAGTGAGCTGAGTTTATTACTCCTATTACATATAGGAATTAACTGTTGAAAATTTTAAATTTAAAAATTTGTCACCTTTCATATACTAACCTTAGTTCATTAAAGACCTTTCACAATTAAACCTGATTTACCTGCTGTCCCATTCCTTCAAACGTAAATTTGAAAAATCTCTATGAATTCCAAAACCCTGTCTGCATAAAAACTCATTCAGTTTCTTTTGTTTATGAATTACAGTTCTGAGTCTATTCCAGGAAACACATTGTAATAGAAACATGTAACAGAGTCTATATCCAAAATTGATAAGTGGAACACTGGGGTTTTAACACATTGTTATGAGTTTCAATAGCATTAGCCATATTCTATAAGTGGGAATTAGGACAAACTTCCAGAATTTGGATAGTGTCCAGCTGTTTGTTTCATAGTCCATTATTATAAGATTCTGTAATGATTATAATTTTGTCTCTTGACAAAGTAAGTAGAGTGCCCATATATTTCAGATTTCCTGGGATGCCCTTGATTTTAAATATTTTGCTTGTTGTTAAATCATGTGTCAGACAGCATATTTTAATTTTTGTTCTAAAATTTTTTATAGTTATAAGTAAATACATTCTCAATTTCCTAGAAAAGGATTATGAATTTTCTGTGAACCTAAGAGTTATTATTAAGGAGAGACTAAAAAGGTATGACAACTTTTTATGTTAGAGCCTGCAGAATTCATTTAATCATTACCACTGTGAAAGTAATTGAATCATAGTAATTTTTAGAGAAAGAAAACAGAATAGCTGTTTTATTCTTTCAAACTAATGTTAGCATTTTTAATAAGTATGAGTAAAAATATGTTGATACAGTAACAAAATTTCTTAGCATTGGTGCTATAATGTTCACTTTGGGGGAATGCAAATACAGATTAACCCATGTTCTCCTTTTCTTTGCTTATACAGTTTTTAAAATATAATGCAAGATGTGCATTTAATTACTGCTAATAGTGCAATGTACCGGGCCAAACATTTGCCACTAACTGTCAAGTGTCTTTCTGATGCAGCTGAAGAGAGAGAGAGAAAGAGAGAGAGAGAGAGAGAGAGAGAGAGAGAGAGAGAGAGAGAGAGAGAGAGAGAAAGGAGAAAGAAAGAGCAATGTCCTTTGAGCAAAACTTTCTGCAGCTGTTGTGTACATTAATCCAGGGAGCAGATCTCCCGACTCTAAATATAGCAAGCATATCCTCTTACATGATAAAAAAATATAAAATAAAAGTCTTTCACTATGGATATTATTTTATATTTTATTTCCTATAAAAAGGAAATAGGCATTGCATGTATATTCTCTATACAAACACCATTACTGTAATAAGTGAATGTGTGGAAAATTCCAATGATATATGCAGCATGTCGTGACTTCCTCTGTTGAGATATTTTTCTTTAGTATCCAAGTAGGCTCTGATCCCTGGGAATTTCATCAATCCCCTCCAAAATCTTTACATGTAGAGAACTTTGTTTTGCACGTGATATTGTGTCCCATCATACATAATTATAAAGCTATCCTAGGTTTTACTCTGAATAACAGTATTTAGGCCTCGGAAATATCCCCTTTCCCATTATCAGTGCCCTGTTATCAAAACACACTTGAGAACTTAAATCTGAATATTACCTTTCTTTTTTTAGTTGACCCAGATGAGGATGTCCAACCCAGGCACTCCACTGTGATGATAGTTATCCAAGGAGAACTTTTAGATGAATGCACAGGAGAAAAAGAAAATTCTTCACGCTCTTGGAAATAGAAAGTAGCCGTCCATAGAGAGTGAGGAGTTAACCTTAGTTTCAGTGAAGATGGCTGTAAGAAGCTGGACAACCTGTCACCACCGGAGCCAGAGCATTTGTCAGCTCACAGGTCCCAAGTTATTTTGAGCTGTATAAACCATGTGCCTGTCAAACATTCCACCTGATTGGATAGGAGAAAACTGAGCAAAGGGATTCCACAGTGGGACAGCACCTATGGGTGGTGGGGGGGTCAATCAATTTTTCTACCTATAGAATTTCTCTTATAGCTAGAGGCCCAATGTTTATTGATTTTTGTTTGAAATTAATACTAAGTTTATCATACCACATTCCATCTGTCAAAGAAAATGGCATTATTTTTAAATAGATCAATATTTTTATTTTTTTAATTAATGGGAAATTGACTCTCATTTAATCACTGATACATTTTAGGAAATTTGGCTATGAAAATGAATGAACCAATATGAAGCTGCCGAGTTTTTGAATGGTTTGTCCAAAAGCTTAGCTAAACAAGTTTTAACTAACATTAAAAATTGTTAAGTAGAGATCACAGAAAAGATGGAGAAGAAAAAAACAACAGCCTTAGAATAACCCAGTAACAAATTAGTTTGAACTTACTTTTCAGAAAGAAAATAATCATGTACTATTTAAAAGTCAAAATTACTATTTAATATAATATTTTACAACTCCTATTCATGTGTAGTATCTGGAATAACTTTCTCATATATTATTCTATGCCAGACGTCTTCTTTCATAAGAATTCCCAATCCTTAAAAAAGAATCCTTAATCAAACCAACATTTGCTCAAAAACCTACTTTGTCAAAGTACAGGTTCTTTGATATTAATTTAGTACATTTTCAGAATATGAATTTGGAAAGAAAAAGTTAATCCTATGGATTAGTACAGATTAAGAATGTAATAACATCATCATCATCAATCTTGGTAGAAGCCTGGGTTTTGAAAATTCAGAAAAATGCCATTGGTTGGTTTTTTGTTTTTTAAAGGATCACTCTTAGATTTGGATAGCATGAAATAATTGGTTTAAATCTAGCTTTCTTAAATCACACAACTGCTTGTAGCATGCTTTTCATTAATTCATTCATTCATTCAACAAATATTTACCTAATGTCTACCATGTACCAGGTAGTAGATATAAAGCAGTGCAAAAAATATATAAAAATTCCTGACCTCATGGAAATTACTAAGAGAATTTTTATTCTTTTCAGTCATCCTGAAACTCCTTATAGGATATTGAATAGCTATGAAATTTATTTGTTTATTGTGATCACATCAGAGTTTTCACTACACCTTTTGTTATGGAGCTTTTTATTTATACAAGCAAAATGAAAAAAATTCAGGAAAACTTAAATAATCTGGGTTAAAAACAAAACAAGAAGAGCTGAATTATATGGATAGGCATTTTCATTATCACAGTAATCCAGATCTTCACTGTACGTGTTCATAGGCTCTCTTAACTAATCCTTTGCTAATCCTAACCTCAAGACTACTTAATTGTTTCTGCATTTTCAATTTATGTAGATGTTCCAAATTTCTTTTTTTAAAATATATTTTATTGATTTTTTTAACAGAGAGGAAGGGAGAGGGATAGAGAGTTAGAAACATCGATCAGCTGCCTCCTGCACACCCCCTCACTGGGGATGTGCCTGCAACAGAGGTACATGCCCTTGACTGGAATAGAACCTGGGACCCTTCAGTCCGCAGGCCAGTGCTCTATCCACTGAGCCAAACCGGTTAGGGCCCAAATTTCTTTTTTTATTTAAAGAGAGGATCTTCTCCCACTATCCCACTCAGAACTTGAGGCATAATCAAGATAAATTCTACCAGGTCTTGGGTAGGAACATTGGAAAGTGGATCCTTCCTTCCTTCCTTCCTTCCTTCCTTCCTTCCTTCCTTCCTTCCTTCCTTTTTAAAAAATATTTTTATTGATTTCAGAAAGGAAGGGAGAGGGAGAGAGAGAAACATCAATGATGAGAGATAATCATTGATTGGCTACCTCCTGCATGCCCCCTATTGGGGATTGAGCCCAAAACCCAGGCATGTGCTCTGACCGGAATCGAACCATGACCTCCTGGTTCATAGGTCAATGCTCAATCACTAAGCCACCCTGGCTGGCCTGGAACCTCTATTTCAGGTAGCAAATAAATATGCTACAAGTTGATTTTCCAAAGGAAAATGCTTACAAAAACCGTAAGTAGACACATTTCTACTTCCCTGCAAGCTCTGCCATGATAAGCCTGGTACTCTACCTTTCACCCAGGTACAGAATTTTGAGGAGACCCATACTGAAATATACAATAGAGTTGGTTGGGCAGTGGGATTAGGAATCAATAGGAACAACTTAAAAAGACTTAAAATGCATAAAAATTACAGAAGAGCCAAAGAATTTCTGAATAGGAATAATGTTTCTCTTCTCATAGTTATAACATTTCATATGTAGATAGTGTACAAAGTTTTTTGAGCTCTTTGAAAAAAAGGTGGATATAAATATTTTTAACAAATAATACTCAGAAACTGTGGACACCTTGCTTACATCAAACTCATATTGTAGATTCTATATTTTAAAAATTAGTTTCTGCTCCCAGATAATGCAGTCACTATCCTGTGTATCCTCAGTACTAATCGTATAAACATTATACCAGAAACCTACTAGTTCAGGTTTTACCAGAGCTCATTAGTACAAAGAATAATTTTTAAAACTTAAAAACAATCTAACATAGATAAAAACAAATTTTATAAGTGAAAAACAAGCAAAAGGTTACATGTCTTAAGCCTTCCCCATAAAGTTAAGTAGCCCATCCAACACATGCGTTTATTATGGTTTGAACATGATCCTGTGCTTGCCTTCAGCTGTTTTCTTAATACAGTCACTCAGCTACAGAAACAATTCATTCACATTGGGATGATCCACAGAATGTCAAGGAATCTGGAAGACCTCTGACAGAGGACGTCTACCTAGAGGATAAAGCATGCAAGATTTTCTGTGCTAGTGGATTCATAAAAAAATTTTGTATTTGCTCTCTTTCCATATTGCAATGGGTTATAATTCTTTAAAAGAAATTGCTCACATACACCGAAGTTTCAATATGTTTTGTTTAAAGTTTTTAGATTTAGCCCTGGCCGGATAGCTCAGTTGATTGGAGTATCGTCCAGTACACCAAAAGACTGCAGGTTTGATTCCAGGTCAGGGCACATACCTAGGTTTTGGGTTCAATCCTATTTGGAGCTCGAATGGGAGGCAGCCAGCCAATGGATGTTTCTTTCTCACATTAATATTGCTCTTTCTCTCTCTCCCCTTCCTCTCCTCTAAAATCAATTTTAAAAATGTTAAAAATAAATAAAAACATATCCTCAGGTGAGGATTAAAAAAACTTTGTAGATTTATATTGAGGTACCCCTCTCCAATATCAGATAAATAAAAAACAAAACCTCTATGTCTTATTTTAAAGAACAGAAGCATGTATATATATATATATTTTAACTTTTGTTAATGATAAAAATAGTCACACCAGAGACGAGTTTTTTACTATCCGAAAAGATGTATGTATGGTAGGTTATAAAGGGTCTTATGCAAACTCCATGGTACAATGTAATTGAAAAATACAATTAAATCCTTAAAAATATTATTTTTTATCTAAATGGTATTGAAAATGCTTGTCTAAAACTAAAACTAAAAACATTTTTAAAACATGAGTTCAAAACCTATTTACTTTTAAAAAATAAAAACATTTTTAAAAACTATAAACAGCCCTGACCAATGTGGCTCAGTTGGTGAGAGTATTGTCCCGTACACCAAAAGATCTCAGGTTTGATTCCCAGTCAGGGCACATACCTAGGCTGTGGTTTCGGTCCCAGCTGGAGTGCGTACCAGAGGCAATCAATCGATGTTTCCCTCTCACATTGATGTTTCTCTCTCTCTTCTTCTCTCTCTCTCTCTCTCTCAATCTCCCCCCACCACCACCACCACCACCAAAAGGTCCATAAACATATCCTTGGGTGAGGATTAAAAAAACAACAACTATAAACAGAATACCTATTTTCAAACATTATACTGAAAAATAAATTTTGGGTTACCTGTCTCAGAAGAAGCACCATTCCTACATCACTCAACGAGGATCATCCAAAGTCTAAATCTCACTGCCTAACTTGTGTCAGCCACAAAAGTAGCATGAAGAAATGTGATACTGCCCCGACAGAGTAATGAAGGGTATTTACAGGGTTCCGTGGCAGATCCAGGGACAGTCATTTAGAACAGATTGCTCTTTCAGATCAACTTTAATAACTCGAGTCTGCACGATGTTCTTAGCCTGAAGGGATGGTGGGGGTGGATAATGACTAAGGAAACAGACTTTCTTGATCTCTCTTTAGACTAGATGAGAAGGATAATAAGAATAACATTTTTTTTAAAAAAGCATAAAGAGTGCACTAAATATCTACATATAGGTTGCAAATGTGTAAATACCTTTTTTTGATACAAAACTTAGATTATGGTAAATATATTTATCAAATTACTTATGGAAAACAACCAATTATTATAATATTAATGAGATAAAAACTTTACTATGTGGTTTCTATGAAAACCCAATAAGGTTTCTGTTACTTGTGGTTTTGATATGTAGCACATATCAAAGTTTACAATTTGTAGAAAGTATTATTTTCAAGAAGAAAATTTGTTCCCAGAATTTTTTAAAAGAGCACCCTGTGATTACGATTATGTCACTGAAGAAATCCAGAACAATTAGTATTAAGTGTGTAGTCCTGAAACTGTACAATTGATTTACACTTTTCACCACATTAATAAATGACTATATTAACACACATGAATATATCATGTAGGTAGAAATGAGGTAACATTCCTTAGCTATGTACCAGGCACTATTTTAAGCTCTTTACAGACATTGTGCTTTATTTTATGCATTCCTTCCACAATCTATGAAGTAGGTAATGTTATAATTCTAATTTTACAAATGAGAACCTGGGGCTTAGAAAGAAGTTAAAAATTTGCCCAAGGTCACACAACAACCAAGCGACTGAGCCAGGATTAAATCCAAGGCTAACTCTAAACCTATGCTCTTAAACCACTACAAATATTTAAATGTTCACATTTTTAGGGTTTTTGTGGGGAGAAAAAGGAAGGGCAAAAATGAATGTAAACATACTCTCT